TGTGTGTGTGTGTGTGTGTGTGTGTGTGTGTGTGTGTGTGTGTGTGTTCATTCATTCAGTAGGAACCAATTTTCGCCAAACGAGGACACGCCATGCAGCGTGGCCTGGAAAACATTCCTGGCACTGCTCCCATCTGGCCCATTGGCCGCGACACATTCATGAAGACATAATCTCTCTTCTTCCTCTCTCACTCACTTCTTCCTTTGTCTGTCCTTCCCCACAGCCCCCTTTGTGCCTCGTACAAAACATGCAAACAACAACTAAATAGAGGTGATGAGATTTTGGGGGGAAAGGAACCTGTGAGGTAAATATGATTTGCTCAGCTCGGCGTCTTCCCTCATCTGACGTCTTGGTCTGGTGGTGTTGAGGCTGCTGCTGCTGCTGCTGATGCACCAGCTGCTCCAGACTCTGCAGACAACCGCAGTCCTAACAAGTCCGTTTCATTTTGTATTCAGCTTCAAAGCCCCCTCTTGTTTTATTTTTTCAGCACAAGCTAAAAAAAAAACAAAATGATTCTACTAGCTTCCTGAACAGTTTGATTGTGTTGCAAAGATTTCTTTTTTTTCTCTTTAGTGTTATTTTGAAATCCTCCCTCCCATTTCCTTCATTTCTCCCTGACTTTTAACTCCTGTTTTATACACAATACAATGTAGACATTACATTTGAAAAGTAATATGAACTCAAACAATATCATGCTTTGATTTAAGGTCAAGCTTAAGATCTGGAGGCCATACGTTTTCTTCCAAAACTCTCTTAACTTATCACAGACACGGGATTTTCTTTACTTCACACAAATAACCCATACATACAAATATTGCAATGATGATATGTTGTATATGAAGGTGCTGTCTGTGTAAACTGCCTAAACCCATAGTCATACTTGCAAGAGCCTATTTTAAATACTGTTCATATTGGACGACTTGCTACATTAAATTACCTGCTTAAATAATAATAAGAACCTAATAATAGCTTGCTATAGCAATGCATTGTCTACAAAACATAGTGTGTTTCTATAGGTTAAGGTCACCTCCTGAACAAGATTCTCTTAGTACTGTTAAAGTTATATTAACGCTAGCTAACACAAAGCAACAGCCTCGCACACACACACACCCTGAGCTTCACAGTCAGTCTTTGATGGTATAAAACAAAACCAGAATAATGAGTCAGTTGTTGGTGGCCTGTTAATGCCACAGCGTCCCGTCTGAGCTCCCTGCGGTGAATAAGGAGGACAGCAGGGCCGAGTCGGGCCCCTATTGGCCCCGTCCCACAGCCTGAGGACAGAAGACAAATCACTTCTGCCTCCATGATGCAGGCTTTTATCACTGAGATGAAAAAGACCCACAGCTGAAGCTCAGCCATGAGCAGCAGCAGGCTGGGTTGTATAACGATCACAGTTCTGTTGCCCCCCCCCCCCCCCCACCCCATTTTTTTAATGCTCCTCTTTCTTCACCTCTAAGTTGGATCAATGCTGCTGCTAAAGCAGCTGAAACGTAAAGTCAGAGAGAGGACACGGACCGAGGCATCGCAGTGAAGTCTCATGCGAGGAGAGTGCCGCTAGACCAGACGAGAAAAGAAAGACCAGACAGTGAAAGAGGAAGCGAGCCCAGCGGCTAGCCTGATTTATTGATGGACTCGCTTTTGGCATCCTGAGACTTCCTCTAAGACAGGATGCCAGATTAGCAAGCAAAGGCTTTTCATGGTGTAAGAGTGAGCACAGGAACCCGAAAAAACAACGAGGTTTTGGTGCTAAAAATAGGGGACGCCTGGGACTGAGGGCCCTGTTTAAAGATGGGAACATAGTGTCAATATATATTTATACACAGCATTTGATTTGTTTTGTGGATTGTACTGTTATTGTGGCTGAATACTAATGTAGGAACGTAGTCGAGGAGGAAGAGATGCTGTTGTTTTGTTGACAATCCAGTGAGTGAAAAGTGAGATCTGTCAGGGTGTCTAAAACCATCACATTTGTCTTCGCTTCATTCTTCCAACTAGCAGAAGATGTTGATGATATTCTTTTTTTTATAATACCTTACCATGAAACCTTGAGTCAAAAATGTAAAACAACTGATGTAGCTGAACGTTGTGGGTCAAAACCCCAGAAATCACACACTCCACATGAAAGTACTTCTCATTAGGTGACATAAGTGAGTAATTGGTTGAAAGGTTGCGGTTGTAAGAGCTCCATTGTTTAGTTGGCAGGGTTCACAGGCTGTCCTCTGAACCCTCGCTCTACTCCACGCTGCCTCCTCAAGTTTCAACTTATTTATTGTCACGTGCACAACAATTACAGAGAAGCAGTCGTTGTTGGCAGTGAAATATCTTGGATCCCTCCAATAATGCTTATTAAATATGTATGAAAAGAAAAGATCCTTGTAATGAATATATAGACTCTCCCTAGATCCCCAATCAGTCGTGTGTGGACCCTTGTTCTTAATGCATAGTCCTGAACCTAAGTACCCTAGTCCTGAATCTACTGGCCCTCGTCTGGAATCTGTAGACTCTCCACCATCTAAAGACTCTTGTTTTAATCCATCGGCCTGAACCTCAAGACCCTGATGTAGAGTCTGTATACGCTTGTCTGTAATCTATACCTGTGTGCTGAACCTAAAGACCCTCGTTCATAGTAGTCCATGTTGACTTCCTGTCAGCTGATGTCATTCACATACACGGCAACTGGAAATAAAATGGGACACATTCAGAATGTGAAATGGGCTATATATTATAATTATATAATATTATTATTATATTATAATAGAATTGCCACATTATTGAGTAAGAAAACGTGCGCTGCCATGCTTCCACGTCTTTATGACACACACGCTCCTCGAGTGTGGACCCTGACTGGTCTTGAGTCGGAGGTGGCGTTGCTGGCTCATGGCCTTGTGACGGAGATTAGGGCAGATTTAGATCAGGGCCTGCAGAGTAGATGGAGCCAGGTACAACGCGTTAAGAGCAGTCAGCAGACGTGGACAAACATGCTGTTATATGTATGTGCGAATCGGCCGTCACGCCTCCATGACTGCTCTGGGGTGATAATAAAAACCTTGCAGAGTTAGGTGCATCAGTAAAGTTGACAAAAAAACAATCAAAACGGAGGAAAACACCTATTATAGATAGAGAGTAATCATCACTTTTTCTAAAATCTGACAAATGTTGATTGCTCAAAATGTCAAAACTGAATTGAATTCCCTCTGAATGCACAGTACAGTAACTCAAACCATATGGAAATGTAATTGTAGCAGTAACCCGTCCCGCTCTTCCTCTGAAGGGACGAGGCGTCTCCTTGGAGGATACATGCCAGTCCGTGCGCTCGCTGACAGCTTAAAACCGCCCAAGCCTCCGACGGCAGAGTTGCCATTCATGTTGGATTACACAGTGCAGCAAAGTGCGAGGGCCCGTCTCACCCCACGGCTCCGTGTTCGCGGACCACTGAAGCATTTGCCAAAGCAGACATGTCCTGCAGCGAACGCTCCGAGACCATCAATCACGGGCCCCGGGCTCCTGCGAGGCTGCCACCTGTCCCGCTCAAAAGGACGCGTAAAGTACAGTGCACACGCTAAACAAACTGCAGCTGGTTCTCCAAGAATCCCAATTAAAGGCTCTGCTGAATAAGTTATGAGGTAGTATGTCGGTGTTGCGCTAAACTGGCATTGCTGCAGTGTGAGCAAAGGGCTGAGTCACGTGATGGTGTTCAATATAGAAGGTTGATAGAGCAATAAGGAAGTAATAAGTCGTTAATGTTTACTGTGCTCGTAAAATGCCGAGAGGAGGGATGTCAGTCTTGATTTAAAAACTTGCTTTGAAATGTGAAGCTTTCTAACGCCTGTAAAGTTTGTTCTTCTGTAATAAAGAATGATGCGTCATTGAACCATTTTAGGATGGATTCTCTGTTTTTATTATAGTGCCCCCAAATACCAAAACATGGAGCTGAGAGGGCATTTTGGGGATTTACTGGAGGGGCACATTTGTGGAGTTAATAAAATAACGCTTTAGGTCCATTGGTCGCTGCAGACTTCTTATGCAGTTTTTCTGTTTTCAGTTGGTTGTTGATATTACTCAAAGTTTTGCCACGCGGTGACTTCAGGTAAGCAGGAGGGTTTTGAGGTCAGCTACGCTTTGCTGCCTTTGAAGTGTTTTTCTTTTTTTTTTTACTCTTCGGACATTTTTATCCTGCTTTTGACTTTGAGGGTCGAAATCGAATCGATTTAGAAATGAAAACGTGCTTGTATATGGGTATGTACATATAGTTATACTGACTGTACAACTGAGCACATGCCAGCTGCTGGTGACGACCATGAGAAGTGGTTGAAAGCCCTGGGAAATGCTAGCAAATCTTGCTTGTGGAGCCCCAAAAAGAAAAGCTTGAGCCGGCCCCGTGTAAACTGACTAAAGTGGCTGAGGTGTGAACAGTGGCCTTCTGGGGAAAATTAATCTTGTGAAAACAGTAGAAATGTTCTTATCGTCTCCTTTTCTTATTTTCCAGCAAGCAACATAAAAAACACAGTAACAGGCACCGGCCCAAATCCAGTTTGGCTGGTGACTGGTGCTATTTTCTTTATCGTGTTGTCAGTAAAGTGAAAATAAAATATGGAGGCAGTGGAAATCAGTGCCACCATACAACACAAATGGAAAAAAAGGGGAAAATATTGCCAAATCACAGCACTTATTCTCATTTTTCTGTCTCTGTCTGTGTCTTTTGCAGCTCAAGATCTCCTTCAATGAGTCGAGCCTCCAGAGTACATATGAGTATCCCTCAGAGAGCAGCGCGTGGGACAGCGGGGACGAGGACGAGGACGAGAAGGCAGCGGACGAACAGCCGAGCATGGTGGGACGCATTCACATCCCTCGACCCAGTTTCACCGGCTCGCTCACCCACTCGAACAACAGCAACGGTGAGACGACATGAAATGTGACGAAGTGGAGGAACGCGGTCAACTTCTATGTTTTTTGTGGTGAACATGTGGGTTAGATATTTCCTGCAGATTATTCATGGGCCCCAAAGGATGATCCCTAAAGATTTCCTTGGCCCTCTGACCTTTATTTTTACACAAAAATCTAAATTTCTACTTGTCCATCACTCAAGTCTACAACAAGGTGCCTTGAAATGGAATGGCCTAGTGTCTCTTTACTGTCACTGCTGACAGTCATGGTCCCCAGAGGGTGAATCATGTGTTATATTTTGGCTGGTGACCCTCTGAATCTAGCTGTCAACCATTAGGTCAACATTTCTTGTCGTTATACATGAAAATCTAACTTTGTTGACATAATATGTATACTATTATACTATTTAGTATGCCAGAAAAATATTTAGTATTTCTCAATACATGATATGTCAAATGCAGTATGCCAGAAATACCATCCGGTTGCATTTTGCAGTACATAAGTCACCATCCCTTTCTCACAATCCTCTGCGTATCTATGAGTTCAAGGTGCAATGTTATGACGAAGTATTATTTACACTTTGCATTCTCATGATGGGCCATTGATGACCAAATAAAAAGACTAGTGAAGCAGTAAAAAGTTATTTTTGGTGCCGATGACACCACTCCTACTGTTCAATGTCCGATACGTGAGCAAGATCTTGGAAGACGGGAACAGGGACAGTGTTTTACTTTATTATGTTATTTCTTTCAGTTTACATACAGCAGCCTATCCTTAAACACCTGCTTTGTAAAGCTGTTGACATATAACTTAAGCTGAGGCTGAGTCACAAGGGCTTCTGGAGCCTAGTTCTGTGGTATTTCAATCTTCATGTGGACACAGAGTTCAGCTCCAGTGTCTTTTCCCCACTTTGTGTTTAAATGCACATAAAACTGCTGTTTTTCCCTCTTCAAGCTGATGCACATCGCATGGCCTTGGACTAAATACGAAGGGCCTGTGTTATGTCCTGTTGAATGATATGGATTTGGCTGTAAAATATAGAATATCGTATATGACAAAGACTTTGCCTATTTTCTTTCTATGTCATCTCAAAACTACAAAGTTGTCTGATCAGGTCCTTGCTTCATTATTACAACATTACTACCCTCATGCGGATGGTAGAAGTGCGACAGACAGCGTTACGCATGATGACAGAGACCTCTAGTGGACACATTGTGGATCACATTTAACTAAATGTGTTTGTAGCAGTCCCTCATTCTTTGGTACTTCTCACCATGAAATGAATATTGAAGAGGACCTTTCCAGTAGGTGACCTGCTTCAGGGCAGAACTTAGTGCTAATTGTGTTTGTACTTGCCTAATGCCAGCAGGCTTAAGGTCTATATTCACTGAAACCCACTTTATATACTATATATTTTCAATATTATTAGGAGGCATTTTTTCATTGTGAAGGCACTTGTGAGATTTGTTGAAGTAAATATTTCTGTACTATGTGTTCTGGTTCTCAGGCTTCTTTCTGATCAGCTGAAATCTGGGGAATCAGTGCAATCTCTCACATTTTCCACTTTGACTTCATCAGCTAACTTCCTACTTATACCTTTATAAAATAAAAAATAGTATCTCATAAATGACAGAATAATGTGTCGTCGACACAAAAGGGAACGGTACAAACGCATCAGTGTACCGGGTTTAGGATTGAAATGAATGAAGGTTTGTAGCAACAACACAAAAAGGTTCTTTACATTTTTAGTGACGCATGATGTTTTATTGTCCGCAGACCTTTCCAGCTACATTCCCAAGCACTCGGTGGACTTCAGCGCCTGGCAGGAGCACAAACATGAGGAGAGTGTTTACCAGGAGGACGCCACTTCCCAACAGACGCAGATGAGCGAGGAGGTTATGGTGAGAGAGAACTCCTCCACTCATCAAACTGTTTACACCGTCTCTGTTTTAGAGTCCCATCTCGTGTTTTATGTTTTGGGCGGTGGGGCAACACTTTCTCCTTATATTATGGATGGATTATTAATTATGGATTGTGCCTTTCAGTGTGCGGTTTTATGTCTTAAACTCAGGTCTTAGTTGTGTAGTTTTTGTGGTGCAGTGTGCTCTGGCAGACTATCAGAATATGGTTTCATTTTGTAATCATTTTTTTTTGATAGTTTTAGTCTTGATTTCTATCAACTATCAGGAAAAAAGTCTTTAAAAGTCTGAAATGTAATTGATAAATACTTTCAAGCACCTTGTGTGTGGAAACTAGCGAAAAGAGGTCTGCTATATAATGACACTAGCTTTCAAGTTGAATTTCCAACATTTAAACTTCGTCTTTTCTCCTCAGCTCACACCGGCAGACAGCTCGTCCCTGTCTGACTACAGCAGCGAGCCCGCCCTTTACTTCTGATCCATCGGACCGATCAGCTGTACAGTAGCACCACACCTGTGGGACCAGCCTGCAGCCGGAGCCCGGCGGGGTCCGCCACTCCTGGGCCTGGACTGCCTCCAGCTCGACACTCCAGCCGCCTCTAAGCACATCTTCCTGATCAGACAGGAAACGTAGTGTTTTTTGTTCCTTTTTTGTTGTTTTTTCGCTAATCTCCTGCCACGGAACCGCCACACGCCACGTTATCGACCGCATATGGGAGCAGAGGAGCTGTTTCGATTCCCACCCTCTTCCTGACCTGAAGCGACACATCCAAAAGCAGCTGGACTGTGTTTTCCCCAACGATCCTCGGACAGTTGATCTGTCGGCCTCCCTTCCTCATCCTCGCTAAACTAAAACACAGGACAGGATCAAGTGGATTGTCAGAAAATCCATTGAGACGTCCGCCGTCCCCTCCAGACTCTGGAAGACGTTTACTGGCTTCACCGTCCCCCCCTTCCCCCTGATTCCCTGCTTCCTAGTCTCCTTGCTTCGGGTTTGTTGGAGAGACGTTGACAAGCGAAGGAGCTTAAAAAAGCGAGTGACCAAACTCCTCACAAAGGACAGGAAGCCGCCAGTGTCCACGTGTAGGAAACGCCACGGTGACAGAGTTCAGTGTTAGCATGGAAACATGTCAGTAGGACGTGGAGGACGCGTCTGCTTGTGTAGATCGCCGGCACACTCAAATGGTGAAAGGGTGCCACAAATGTAGTTCATTTTTTGTCTTTTTTTTGTACCTGCATGTTTTGATTTGAGCCATCAGCTCGGTCGGTTCTCTTTTACTGTAAAGCCTTTTTTGTGTTATTTTTGTATGTTTTCTGGCAAACTTCTGCTGTAACGAAGCTGCTGGAAGTTCAGTGTGAAGAGCCTCAACAGCAAGCAAACTTCAACACACACTCCCCCTCTTTTTGTGGCGAGGGGGGGGGGGGGGGAGAATATGCAGCCAAGGGAAGATTTCTGTCGTTCGGCAATTTCTGATTACACGCTTGGAAAAAAAGTGACCTTCGCCAATGCCGTCTGTACGTCCGTATCGCTGGTGACAAAAGGAAACCATCGCACTGTAGAATGGTTCTGTGTATCCTCTATCAAAAGCTGTTAGACCTTCTGACACCTTTTTTGTTATTTTTCTGGCTTCTCGTGTATTTATTCCTGCTTAAAGTTGAAGTTTGCATGTCTGAGACCTGCTCGTGTACAAAAAAAAAACAATTTTGTAAAGACAAAGTTGCTGGTGCGGAAGGACGTTTTGTTATTGTTTTTCCAGTCAGACCTCATGTACTTTGACATTCCACGAAGAAAAAAAGCAGCCGGTCCATCGAAGTAATGAACGCATCAGCGGTTATGATCGTTCTCAATGTGGCACGTTTGTCAGAGCGAATGCAAGACTGTGTGTGTGTTGAGAGAATATGTAATGATTTTTTTTTTTAATTAAGAATTTTTTTTTTTTTATATATATACAAGAATGCACCAAGTTTCCAGATGATTTTTCTTTGTTGTTTTTAAACTCATGATGCCAAGTGATTAAAAGTGTTGCTGTAACGGCCTCACGTTCATTCTCTACCCGCCCTTCAGCCAGTATTGTTGTACAGTTTCTCAGAAGTACTTCTGTCCTTTCTTTCATTTCTCCAATCAACATGAAATGTGCCGAGTCCTCACGGTTGGATTCTGCTGTTGGGGGATGAGGTGTTTGTCTTTTATGTCGTCCGGAGTCTTGGATGTTAAATGTCTTCGCACCGTCTTGCTTTTATCTTTGTGAAGGAACAGAGCGGGCGACAAGAGGACACGTGCACTTAAAACAGCAAGACCAGTTGAAGGGTTTTGTTTTAAATCTAAATGAATGAATGGCATTGTGGGACAGAACTCTGCAGCTGTACATGATGAACGCACTGCCGATGAATGCCACGTTTTGTTTTTTGTACTGTTTGCCACAGCCTTGCATCAAAAGTCTTATGATCGTCAGCCTTGTCGCTGTGACCACAAACCGAAGCCTGAGTGTCGTTTCCCACACAGGTCCAGGGCTTCATCTTTGTCCTCAAGTTCCCCCGAAACTTCCTTCTGCTGAGCCGTGGTTATTAACCAGTTGAGCTGAGATGTCTCTTTCAAGCACCACACCAGTGGTTTTGCATGTTTGAGCCCATTTAGTACAAGTCACATATACTTTACCGCTACCTATTTTGCAAACCGTGCTACTGTGGTTAAGAAATTTGAATGTATTTTATTTTTTTTACCCATTCCAGGTGTCCGTTGGTTTCCACCCAATTTCATGTTATGAAAATTCACCAGAAGCCTCTTGCTTGTCTTGTAATAGTCATCACAAGAGAACATCAGGTTCCTTTACTGTTGCATCAGAATAGGCTGGGTACCATTTCTATACAAAGTGATCCTTTTCTTGAAACCTTTCTCCGATAAAACCTTTCAGAGAAAGAACTACACTCCACTACAGACGCATTTAAGTCGGTACCAAAAACTATTGATGTTCAATATCCAGCCCTGTGAAGTGCAGAGCAGCCTTTTTAAATGAATCTACATCAACCTACATTATCATAATGTAACAGTAACTAATGCACCTGACAATATTCAATGCAGGCGGGATTCATGGTGATGGATCACACAACTCAACACAGTTGACCGATACATTTTCATACCACGAGGAAATGAATGGAAACCAATGGCTGCTTGAAACGGCGGGAAAAACCCAGTCGGGAACAACGTGAAGTACATGTGATTTGTGATTAAGAAGCTCAAAGTCCCCCAAACACACTGGTACGAGTCTTTAAGTTGACTTTGACCTTCGATGACCAAAGCAGGACGTCTACTCTTTGTGGGAATCTTAAGCTCTCTGTCTTTGTGTGCGACAGTCTGAAAAGACAGCAGCGAGACCGTTTCTGGTGGCCGGTAGTGGGACACTCGACTTGACTTCTGAAGTGTACGCGCGGCCTCTCACCGTTGCAAAGCGAGCGGTTTGTGTTGTACACTGGTGGAAGCTCCATCTTGTTCCTTTTACCCCCCCTCCCCCTGTCTGTAAATCTACATCGCAGCAGATGTGCTTACTGTAAAGTTATCGTCAATGACTTGGGCAAATAAAACAAAAACGAAGTGATGTCATACTTGTACAAATGAAGGCTCAATAAATAGAAGACTTGAACAAATGTAAATACTGTGTACGTGTCGTGTGTCCATCCGGGTTGTCTTAGACACAACCCAGTGTTTGTTCTACAAATATGTCAAAAAAGGAAGAATCCTGGGAGTGATAAGAAACATTTATTAGTTTCAGTAACTTACAATAAATCAGTCAAACATATTACAATTGGTCCGGAGTGGAGTATAAACTGTTAAAAGTGCAGAGTCAAGTGTTGCTGTTGTGGTCAGAACGAGAGTTCATTGCCATCAGTGGTCCTTCCTCCGGGGCTCTGTGGCTTTACTGAGGTTTCCTGCCTCCTGCTTCAGGACGCTCAGTAGAGACTGGGAACTCTCCAAGATCTATAGGGGGAAAAAATCTAATTAAATATACTGCAGATCCTTAAAGTAGAAGCAAAAACATGACTGTATACACTGTAAAGGCAATTTAAAAAGGGCTGCTGACTGTCTTGTTGTTCTTTAATAAGAGCAGCTTCAGAGCGTCTGTTTGTCGTGATTAGTGGGAGTGCTCAGGGAGTTCTGCATCAGTTAGTGGGAAGTGCCCGTGTGACATCATCACGGTGCGTCACCAAAAACAAATAATGCTGAGCCAAAAGACAGCAGGGTCAGTTCATTAGGCTGTTGACCATAAACATGGTGAAATGTGCAGATTGAATATGAATTTGTGAGTGTTGGAACGCAAGTAACAACTATTTTCATGAATGATTCATCTGATTATTTTCTCCATAATGCCAGAAGATGATTTTTTTAAAGAAGCTCATCTCAGCTGCTCAGAGTTCCCAACATCATGTCTTTAATAAGAGATTCTAAAATTGTCCAAAAAGGTTGCATGGCCCACAATGAACATGTATCAGTGACATGTATCAGTCTCAACAATAACAATAATTTAGACAGTCCACACACACACGCGCATGCGCGCGCACACACACACACACACACACACACACACACACACACACACACACACACACACACACACACACACACACACACACACACACACAC